TTGATGTTTATCTGAAGACCAACCGTGTTAGAAGCCAACTCATTAATCATAAACATTTAACATATTACATCTCTATAATACATTATATAGAGACAGAACTGGATTAACCTTTTGTCTGTGAACTAAAACAGAATTGAATGAATACATAAAAACTAAGAAGATGCTCAAATTCAAGTGCATTACTTTCTAAGTATTAAAATTCAGCGTTTAACTCAACATGTGCAGCTTGTACTACAGACATGACAATGCCTCAAATTGTGGAGCTTTTTGCATAGAGGTGTGCTACTACTTTTCTTAAATTATTAAACTTAGAATTATTGCATACAGAAGATGAAGCAAAATAAGAAAAATCCTACTTACTTGCATTGGAGGAAGAGCCACAGCTATATAATGACTTAAATATCACAGACACTTGAGGGTGGGCTCTTTTAACTTGGACCAATAAGCAAACACTGAACATCTAGCATTTTAGTGGTTGCTTGAGGTAAACAACAGTCTTGGCCTCAAGATATCTGATAGTAGTTACATTTATAACTGCATAGGAAACATTTCAGAGAGGCAAACTGCATTTTGAATTTAATGTTTTTTTTTACTTTGTTGCTTGGTTGAATGTTTTCAGCATGATCAGAGCAACCATTTTAACCATTATTACTACATTATGGTTAACAGGTAAGCATTTCCAGTGCAATGCAGTCTAACTTCTTTATTTTATACGCACTGTATGCTCTCCTCACCCTATTGTAGTGTGTGTGGTCTGTTCTCCTGTCATTCAGCAGTCTCCAGAACATCTTCTACGGACGGTGGAGGCGAAAGAGGCAAATCTTTCTTGTCATCATGGTGACAGCAGCTACACATACTTGTACTGGTATCAGCAGAAAATCAATAGTGCTTCTTTAGAACTTATTGGAATGCTCAGATTTGAAAATCCTTCTCCAGAGGATAAATTCAAATCCAGATTTACAATATCAGGACATGCAACAAAATATGCATTCCTGCTCATCTCCAGCATATCAGCTGAGGACAGCGCAGTGTATTTCTGTGCAGCTAGTGCGCACAGCCGTACAATTCATTACAACCACTGACAAAAAACTGTACAACTGTACACTCTGCACGTGTATGATTTGGGGGAAAAAAAGACACCTGTTCGCTTTTTTTTTCATGGCAAAGCTGGCAATAAAAAAAAAAAGTTTACAAACAGAGGGCACTATAAAAATTGGTGTGATGTTTCAGTGTGCAAGTATCTTGAATGTACTAAATCAAAACAACCAGACTAAAGTTGAACAAAAAAAGACAAAAACCATGGAGTGATGGAAGGAAAACAACTACTTTTTGCACTCTACATATTGTATTTATATTTACTGTAATAACAGGAAATTAAAGTCGCAGTCGGCAAGTCTGGCAGATTGAGTGGACTTAGGCAAAATAAATAACACGCTCCAGGTGGAGTTAGAAGCTCGGGTTTTTTTCTAAAACCACTTTATTTATGTTGTTCTGTCGGATTATAGTGTCGATTTCACTGAATATGATCAAAAATTGTTTGCCGACAGCAGCTTTAATTTAAGGCTCTATAAATCCATGTATATTTTAAATAAATGGCAATAATAGTATTGCGTTAAAGATATTGTTCAGAAATGGTTTAATTTGATAGCTGTCACTCTGAACATTTTAATTTGTGCATATTACTGTGTGCCATATGTGCACATCAAGTTTGTAACTGACCTACAGTACAACTTGACTTTAGAATAAGTAAAACATTTTGTAGCTTAAATCCTATAAGAATCTCACTGACAGGGTGGGACTTAAAGCCACGGATGTCCAATCACAGATGAGAAGAAGTCACATGTTTCCTAAATGCTTTAGTTTCAGAGTCTGTATCACAATCAGACATTTATTTCAAGCAAGAATGATGCTGCTTATCTAATTTCCCTATATGAGCTGTTCTGGTTCACAGGTAACTTTTGTACTCTTCTTAATGAAGAATTTTTATAAATACAAATGAAGTAAAACAATATTGATTCGTTTGACATTTGATGGCATCGACATGTTTTCCCCTGTAAAGACATTTCCCTGGGTGCATCTGTTGATCAGCCGGCTGTCATGATAACTCGTCTGGGAGAGTCTGTGAACATCAGCTGCAGACACACTTACAGCAACTATAACTACCTTTACTGGTACCAACAACCAACACAAGAAAATTCCTTCAAACCTCTTGGGCACCTTTACCTAACAAATTTCAATCCTGAGAAGGGCTATGATCGCTTTCATATTTATGGAGACTCAAAAACCCAAGCAACACTTCAGCTCTCCAGTGTTATTTCAGAAGACAGTGCAGTGTATTTCTGTGCTGTGAGTGACACAGTTGGACAAGACTCTGCTGTGTAAAACAAAATGCCTCCCGTTCTCATAGAGGCTCTGAGCAGTTCAAGGCTCTTCAAGGCTGTTGTTTTTTAATCTTCAATCTATATATATATATAAACTTATATATAGGAGCAATATAATAATTATATACAAACTATTTGCGGCTTTAGTTTCAACTCTGTAAGCATGATAATTCTAACAATTCGAAGTAATCATATCATTGCTTTAATTACTTTAAATAATTAAATATTTCCTGCCATTTTATGTTACTTGCTGTATTAAATATGAAAGACTCAATGTTTCAGTTCAGAACTTCAGCCAAATACTTGTAATTACTAAATAACTTTTACATTTGCCCCAAACTCATAGCCATAATAAAATGATTCATGAAAGCATAAGTTTAAAAAGATTTCTTATTGCAGAAACTATATACTTTAAAGGAATATACTCAAGTGCGAACTGAATTAATTTTTTGAATCACTTAATTGCATGTTAATTTATATTAAATCAAAATGTATTATAGTTTAAATTAAACACAATTAGTTAAATTTAAGAGTGCTTTTTTGACCCACTTAAGTAGAACTTAAGTTGTACATCTTTATATATAATTCCATAACACTAACAAGCATTTATGGTATACTGACAAGTAGACTAAAACATACTTAAATGTAATTTATATTGAACTGTTTTTTACAACACTTTATACATTCTACTAACTATAGTAACTTTGCAACTACATGTCAACTAACTTTATTAGTAGACTGTTAGTATACTGTAAGGTTAGGGTTTGTAGAATAAGTTGTACATGTGGTTACCGATCTTACACATTTGACAGATTTCAGCTGCAGCTTCTACGTCTATTTGAGGCGGCGGGACGCTTTAGATTACAGAGAGCGTTTGATTGGACAGAAATTTGACGAGAAGCTGCAGAGTGATGTCATCAAAATCGTTGATCCATATTGACCGAAGTAAGAGACCAAGTTTTGAACACTTATATCTTCTAAATGCGAATTGTGTCATTGTTTTGGAGCACACTAGCTTATAGATAACGGTAAGGTTAACGTATTCATACTAAAAGCCAAAATACTTAAATTTTGATTTAATGGAAACTATGTACACTTAAGTGGCTTTTATTTCATTTATATTATCTAAAAGTACAGTGTTTTAAAAACTACTTTTAGAATTTGAAGTACAATACAAGTGCACATGCAATAAAATTAAGCACACATGGATAAGCATCAGTCAAATCATGTTAACTTTTAACCAACATATAGATAAACTAGAAATAAGGTTCAATTAAAAGGCACAAAACTTTAGAGAGAACAACAAAATATTTATTTTATACAACAAAATTCTAAGTGTACAATCTGTGGTATTGTACATCTGCTTATGCATAACTCCAGAGCTGTGGGGTGTAGCAGACGGTAGGGGGAGGTGTAATTCTAGTGAATAAACTTACAGTAGAGATGCTGCTAAATCTCACTCTCTCAACAGCTTCATGATAAAAGGATGTGCCGCGTTGCTTATAGACTAGCTCTTTTTATCATCTTATATGCACGTATGATGTTTTTGAATTATTTTACATAATTTATTCTCTTTTAAAAAACTCACTTTCTAAGAAAAAGATAACTTAATTTCATTTTCTTCACATAGGTCTGTCAGACTGTGTTCGGTTTGATCAGCCTTTGTCTCTCTTCAGAAAGCAAGAAGAGAAGGCAGTGATCTCCTGTACTCATGATGATAAAAACTTAGATGTCATGTTATGGTATCAACAACTTCATGACAGCAAATCGCTGGCCCTCATCGGTTATGGTTATGATATGGCTGACCCAAACTATGAATCCGGATTCCAAGAGAGATTCAAGCTGACCAGAAAGGACACCGTGACTGGAGCTTTGTTAATCTCTAACCTGCATTTTTCAGATTCTGCTGTCTATTACTGCGCTGCTAAAAGGCACAGTGTTAAATTCTCAATCACTTGCCTGACTAAAAACCAGCGCATTAAAACAGGAAATGGAAACGTATCGGTGGTATTTGGTTTTAAGTAGTTTATAATCTGATAAAAAGGCTTATAGCAGAGCTGAAATTTTAAAAGAGGGTGATTATTGGCAGCTACAATAGAGTGAATCTCACAAAACCTTTTAATCTCATAAAAACTGTGAAGAAAAGCATGGAAGCTTGTTTCCACAAAAAAAAAAAAAAAAAAAAAAAAAGGCATTTGTGACTTTCACAATTCTGACTTTTTTTTCGCGATTGTGAGTTTAGGCCTACATCATATAAACTAGCAATTCTGACCTTTTTTTCTCAGAATTGTGTGATATAAACTCGCAACTCTAAGAAAAAACCATCAGTCTTTTCCCCCTCAGAATTGGACTCACAGTTGCGAGTTTATATCTCACAATTCTGAGAAAATTGGTGAGTATTGTGAGATATAAACCCGCAATTGTGAGAAAAAAGTACAAGAAATTATTTAATAATATATATATATATACACTGTAATATGAAAAATGAAAATAAAATATTAAATAAAATAGAATAAAATGTAATCTTTTGAACTGGACTTTTTTTTTTTGAATTTGCTGAATTTAAAATAGTGATGTTATTTGAATTATTTTAATCTTTTTTATTTCATATTAGATTCACCCAAATATATTCTATTTGAACCCAAGCATGATGTAACAAAGGGGCGTGGCTTATAAATCTCTAGTTTGTCAAGTAGTGAATAATATATGAGGACCAGAGAACACATCGCAGAGGGAAATTTTAAATGGCAATGTTTCTTCTATCCATGTCACTGCTTTTTCTCAAAGGTATTTAACTGTAATATCAAGGCAAGATTTGTATGGTTTTTCTGATGTATACTTTTATGGGATAACAAATCTGATCTATAATTGTATTTCCAGCAGATTTCAGTGACAGTGTTTTGATCACTCAATGGCCGGAGTACATATCCAGCCTTCCAGGATCTTCAGTTGAAATGCACTGTTACCAGAATGATACAGACTTTGACTACAAATACTGGTACAGGCATATAAAAGGTGGAGGGCCAGTGCTTGTTGGAAGCATCGTCGGGACTGTTGATTCTCTTGAGAAGGACTTTAAAACTGGCTTTAAAGTGTCGGGTACAGAGACAAAGAAATGGACCCTGACTGTGGATGTTAAGGAGGGGATTGATGCTGTGTATCTGTGTGCTGCTAGTTTACACAGTGAATAAAAGACAATAAACTATACGACAAAAAACTCTTTGGATGGCAACCTGCAATCACACCTGCCTCAACCACAAATAAATGAACCCATATCTTTACAGACAAGTCAGTAGTGCCTGAGGACTTTTGTATTGATGACGTTATACTCCTCCTTCCCCAAAAACCACCTTCACAATAAGACCTCTTTGATACATTCAGTAGGGGGAGATGTGTGTTGTTTACATAAATGTAGAAGATTCCTCTCTTATCTTTAGTAAAGTCTCACACACTCTCTCATCACATTATTTTGGCTGTGTTTGACCCGTGCTCGTGTGCTTGAGTTTTTCTAACCCTGCTTTAGAAGAATGTTTAGAGTTGTCTATAGTCTGTGCATTCTTATCTTCTTGTATATAGGTAAGATGTTTTGTGACAGCAATATATCTTGTATAATATTTTTTGTTATTGTCTGTTGCTTTGAAATAGAATGTCTCAAAATCAAGTTTTTTTTTTTTCACAGAGAAGGCAAGGTGTGTGAACGTTCAACAGAACCTGACACCAATATTAGCCAACAAGAACAATATAACAGAGATAAAGTGTAGTCATGATGACAGTAACATGTTATACATGTTATGGTATCAGCAAAAGGATACAGCCATGGTCTTAATAGCGTTAAGCTATGGTGCTACAAGTGACCCCACCTATGAGGATGGATTTAAAAAGCGGTTTACATTGAAAAGAACAGATACACTGACTGGAGCTCTGGAAATCTCTGAACTCAGTCTATCAGACTCTGCTGTTTATTACTGTGCTGTCAGTATGCACAGTGCTGAAGTCTTTATCACCTGCCTGACTAAAAACCAAACCACTAAACTTACAGCACACACACACAAAAGCAATATAGCATCTGTAGGATTTATATAAAGTACATTTGGGTTTCTATTCAAAAGATTTGTTGCAGGGTTTCATTTCTTCATAAACAATAGATGATTGAACTTTCTCTCAGTATTTAAAGGGTTAGTTCACCCAAAAATGAAAATTATGTCATTAATGACTCACCCTCATGTCGTTCCAAGCCCGTAAGACCTCCGTTCATCTCCGGAACACAGTTTAAGATATTTTAGATTTAGTCCGAGAGCTTTCTGTCCCTCCATTGAAAATGTATGTACGGTATACTGTCCTTGTCCAGAAAGGAGATAAAGACATCATCAAAGTAGTCCATGTGACATCAGTGGGTTAGTTAGAATGTTTTGAAGCGTCGAAAATACATTTTGGTCCAAAAATAACAAAAACTAGGACTTTATTCAGCATTGTATTGTCTTCCGGTTCTGTTGTGGATCCGCGTTCAGTGCCGCCGCTGACGTAAGACGCTGCTGACGTGTGTCTGGTGTGTGTGTGTGTGTATTCTGGTTCTGTTGTGGATCCGCGTTCAGTGCCGCCGCTGACGTAAGACGCTGCTGACGTGTGTCTGGTGTGTGTGTGTGTGTATTCTGGTTCTGTTGTGGATCCGCGTTCAGTGCCGCCGCTGACGTAAGACGCTGCTGACGTGTATCTGGTGGGTCCGTTTATTCGGGTTCAAATAAATATGGCTGGGCAAAAAAATGCAAGTGTTCCTCTGTGTGGAAATCCTTAGACATGTTTGCGAAGATTGTTTTGTTTCCAGCGTGCGTCTCCCTCAGACTGTGAACGAAGCTCGGGCGCACCAGACACACGTCAGCAGCGTCTTACGTCAGCGGCGGCACTGAACGCGGATCCACAACAGAACCGGAAGACAATACAATGCTGAATAAAGTCCTAGTTTTTGTTATTTTTGGACCAAAATGTATTTTCGATGCATCAAAACATTCTAACTAACCCACTGATGTCACATGGACTACTTTGATGATGTCTTTATTTCCTTTCTGGACAAGGACAGTATACCGGACATACATTTTCAATGGAGGGACAGAAAGCTCTCGGACTAAATCTAAAATATCTTAAACTGTGTTCCGGAGATGAACGGAGGTCTTACGGGCTTGGGACGACATGAGGGCGAGTCATTAATGACATAATTTTCATTTTTGGGTGAACTAACCCTTTAATAGGGGACACAATCAGAGCTTTATTATGAAGAAATGAAGCGCTATCATACCAGGAAACGTATCCTTTAAAGATAATGCAATACTAGAGTGCACTGCAACAATCCCAGTGAAACAACTGAACCAAGATAGTGGACAGAGTCGAAACATTTTTTGACAAATGAATACTTAAATTGGATGCAACATATCGATAAGAAAAGTTAGTAAATAGTATACATCACAGAAGCAACTCTTGCAGTCTAATCAGTCTTGTTGATTTTCAGATAAAAAACATGATTCCCAAAGTAATATTGCTTTTTTACAACATTTTGACAAACATGAAGTCATTAACGAGTAAATTTTTGACACAATGTTTATGGCTACTTCACTTTTTTTTTTTTGCTTCGTCAATGACAAAAGTTTCAATCGAAGTCACAGCACAATGTTCAGTTTCTCTGACCATCTCCAAGCAACACACAGAAATGGCGTTCAAGAATTAGCTAATTGGTTGAGTGAATGATTCAATGATTCACTCATAAAGACAGTAGCTACATTTGGAATAGCATGCTACTCTTACTGTTTCTCCCATATATTTCTATGGCACAAATAGTAAGAGTATTGTGCTAGAATATTTGTATCTGTTTGGTTCTGGTTGGATGTCAGTCATCGTCCATATTAGACGAGTTGAAGTTATCTGTTATCTTTCTGAGTATTACAGTTTCCTATTAAAGGACTATTTTGTTCGATCTCCTGTTTCAAGTCTCTTTGGATTCTATGATTGTGACAGACAGCAACTAACGATTATTTTCATAATTGATAAATCTGTCGATTATCTTTTAGATTAATCGGATAAAAAATATAAAAATTATTATACATGAAAAAAAATCAATTTAATATAAAATTCATTTGAATGCATTATTTTAAACAATATTATTCCACATTGTTGCAGCCATAATATATTTTTAGATGAACCAATCAAAATTGCAAATGAACTCAACTGCCAGTAATTGCCTTTCATCTGATTGGTTAGAGGAGGTGAAAGCCAGTATGTGTGTTCGCCACTTATCCATTATTGATAAAGCACACTTCATTTAGAAGGGGAAGCTATGGAGGAAACAGAACATGAACACACATAGAGGGAGAATGACACGACCACACTTAGACATGCTTTTTATAAAGCCTCTGGAACCTAACGCGTCTCAGTGATTTCGCCGCACAGGTGTGCTCATGCTCAATGTCAAGATGCAGCGCAGCGCCAGTGGCCGTTTCTTCTCATTCGAGAGGTACACAACCATTAAGATGTAAAAACTAATTCTAATGAACCAAGAGCCAAAGAAAATATTAAAAACACTCAACCTGTCACAGATGGAAAACTGCAGAAATGACTACTTTTATGTACATTTTCCAGCCAAAAAAATAAAACATCTTAAACTTTTGTAAAATGTAATTTTATACATATATTAAGGGTTCATATTTGTGTCTTTGCTATTTTTATTCTTATGACAGCATTAGCTTTGCAACCTGCTAATGTTGAACTCCACTGGTATCCGCTGTTTCTGTTGTGGACTGAGTTGTGCATATTAAGTGCATTTGAAATCAGTCATTTTAAAGAAGAAAGCTGCATAGACAAGAGGTTTTGGAACAGAACAAGTGTCATTTCTGTCACTTAGCAACAAAGGGGCGTGTCTTAAAGAAAGAAAAATAGTTTTTTGTCTTTGTGTCATTAACGGAACATCATATTTCATGAATAGCATCTCTAAATGGACTCCTTTCTACTTCTATTCACATTGCTTTGTATTCAAGGTATTAAACTATAACTTAAAATATGAACTCACAGTGACGTTTGTGCTTTTGATCAAATGCAGATTTATAATGAACAGCATAACCTGTGTTCATTAACATATCTTTGTATTTCCAGCAGATTTCAGTGACAGTGTTTTGATCACTCAATGGCCGGAGTACATATCCAGCCTTCCAGGATCTTCAGTTGAAATGCACTGTTACCAGAATGATACAGACTATGACTACAAATACTGGTACAGGCATATAAAAGGTGAAGGGCCAGTGCTTATTGGAAGCTACATTGTTAACTCTCCCTCTAATGAGAAGGGTTTTGAAACTGGCTTTAAAGTGTCGGGTACAGAGAAAAAGAAATGGACCCTGACTGTGGATGTTAAGGAGGGGATTGATGCTGTGTATCTGTGTGCTGCTAGTTTACACAGTGAATAAAAGACAATAAACTATACGACATAAAACTCTTTGGATGGCAACCTGCAATCACACCTGCCTCAACCACAAATAAATGAACCCATATCTTTACAGACAAGTCAGTAGTGCCTGAGGACTAACACATACAGGTCTCATTAATGACGTTATACGCCTCCTCCCCCAAAAACACTTTTACATCGTTGATACAGTCAGTAGAGGGAGATGTGACTTTATTTACTGTGGAGTTTTTGTCTCGCTCTCTTTTAGATTTTAGTCTCTCGTCACTAAATCTAGTTTTTTCGCCCTGTTTTAGAAAGATGTCTGAAGCTGCGATTGGACTGTGCATATTTTTCATATTGTACATATGTAAGATGTTCTGTGTTAGAAAAATTATCAGTAATTATAATTTATCATGTTTGTTATTGTCCTTTGCTTTGAAGTAGAATTTCTCTAAATGCTTATCTTCTTTTTTCCCCCACAGGGAAGGGGGGATGTGTGAATATTCAGCAGAACCTGACACCAATATTAGCCAACAAGAACAGTATAGCAGAGATAAAGTGTATTTATGATGACAGTGGCAAGCCAAATATGTTATGGTATCAGCAAAAGGATACAGCCATGGTCTTAATAGCGTTAAGCTATGGTGCTACAAGTGACCCCACCAATGAGGATGGATTTAAAAAGCGGTTTACATTGAAAAGAACAGATACACTGACTGGAGCTCTGGAAATCTCTGAACTCAGTCTATCAGACTCTGCTGTTTATTACTGTGCTGTCAGTATGCACAGTGCTGAAGTCTTTATCACCTGCCTGACTAAAAACCAAACCACTAAACTTACAGGAAATACACACATTTGTGGGATTCATGAAAATTACATTTAAAGGCTTGTCACAGAGTTTCTTGTTTCTATATTAAAAATAAAAAATGTTTAAATTTTTTATATTTAATAGAGGACTATCGATATACCGATACCTTGACTTCGATTCCGATTCCTGAACGATACTTTTTTCGATACCAATTTTATGAAATCCGCGCGCTATATGGATTAGATAATCAAACTATTTATTTCTAATTGTTTCGTTTAAAAGTAGACATATTTTGACCGTCCATAGGCCTATTTGTCATGTCTGTGAGGCAAGTATCCAATACGCCAAGTTTCGGTTCATTTGTGACGCGCTCCAGTTCTTGCAGTCGAAGACGGATAAACTTTCTACTCTCAAGTGTGTTCTGTGCGCTGTTAATTGCCTTATCAGATTTATCGTGTTGCCGGTCTTGGCAGCAATTATCTTGTCGAAAATATTGCATCGCGTGCTTTTGGCATCGAGTCTGGTACATAGGTAGGTACACGTCTGATCTTTTCCACATATTTTCTATCTGGACGGTAGGGACGCTTACACACACACACACACACTACAGCCTCACGTGCGACGAGCCACGTCTCTGGACAGCCGCGTAAACTAGTGTTTTACCGCCACAGCCGAGCATGCTGCATGCATGTTTCACTAACGTTGACGAGACTATCCCCTTAGGTATCGAAATTTGGTACCGAAAAACAAGACATGTTTCGATACTCGGTAGTATCGAGGCAATTTGATCGGTACCTAAAAAGTATCGAACTCGATACCCAGCCCTATAGAGGACACAATCAGATGGTAAAAGCTTTGTTTGAAAACTTAGTAAACTGTGTAGTTTAGAGGTCTTCTGCTCCTGGAGAGTTTCCTTCCTGCAGAATTCAGCTCAAACCCTGCTCCAACATGCCTGCCTGTTATTTTTAAGCAGCTTGTCCCAATACCCATACTTGTGGTCTTTGCCCTATTAAGTTGGTGCCTCCTTTCAGGGAAACTGAGGTGGATGCATACTTCACTGCTTTTGAGCGGGTTGCAGCTACCCTGAGATGGCCCAAAGAGATGTGGGCATTGCTACTGCAATGCAGGTTGGTAGGCAAGGTCCAGGAAGTGTGTGTACTGTTTTACCAAACGAAGTTTGGATTATGAAGTTGTGAAGACGGTAAGGGCTTATGAATTGGTACCTGAGACCAACAGACAGCAATTTAGAACCCATGTGAAGTCAGCTAATCAAACCTTTGTGGAGTTTGCCCATGAGAAGCAAGCTTTGTTTTAGAAGTAGTGTGTAGCTAGCCAAGTCTCCAATTTTGCACAACTGTGTGAGTTATTATTGTTGGATGAGGATGACTTTAAAAGTTGTCTGCCAGACAAAGTTGTGTTTCATGCGAATGAACAAAAAATCTCTTCTCTCTCTGAAGCTGCAGATCTTAGCCGATGAGTTCTACCTGACACACAAGTTTCCCAGTTAGAGAGTCAGCAGGGAGATCTACACATCTGATCTAGAATCTGTTTAGATGCTGCCTCGAAAAAAGAAAATATCCAGGGGTGCACATAACTGGTACGCAGGTACGCATACGCATGCGCGTAATGCCACTTGTGTTACTATGCGCCTTTGCGTACTTAACCCAGGGCTCCAGACTGCGACCAAATGGTCGCATTTTGCGACTAAAATTTGAGAGTGTGCGACTGAATTTTACATCCAGTCGCACATGTGCGACCAGTAAATTTGCCTCACGTTAAACGCATGGTTAAGCGTGGAAGGGGCACGTCAATGAATCCGGAATGAGTGAGTGTGACAAGAATAGAGAGCGCGCGTGTCTGTGGGAAGGAGACAAATATCACAAGCTGCTATGTGCGTCTGAGCAATGAGCGATCTATTGACTCGTTACCAAGCAGCGAATGCAAACAAAATGAAAGTGGAACGAAAATACGCTACTCATTTATGCTTCACGGACCGTTAATTATTCCGGACCAATAATAGACAGAGCAGCGCATAGCCTTTCTTATGTATATCAATAGAGCAGCGCCCCGAACCACTGACAGTAAAATAAAGACCCGAACTTGCCAGTGTCGCGTGGCCGATCTCGCTCACGCGACACTGTTACTAGGAGATCCAGTGACGAAATCCATTGAATTCGCCTCAGAATTAATAACATCATCGCTACGAGATCCAGTGAGAAACATTCCGATTCGGCGCAGAGTTCTGTTATAAACCATAGATATCAGATCAAACACTGCTGACGTGGAAACTTATGGAAGGCTTTCAGTCCACAAATCAGCAACATTCACCATGGATTTAGGCTAATGTAGTAACTCTAACCATAAATATGATGACAGAAATAGTCAAACGCAGGCTACACATCTTTTCTAGCACTTCAAAACTATAATATCATATATAAATGCTTTTTTAAATGTATTTTTTATGTGATGACCAACACATTTTTTGTTCATCCTTCAAAGATTGTCCTAAAACTAACAAATTTAAGATGTTGGATAAACATACACATTTAAACACTTATTTAAAAAAAATACCATTGTAAACAGTAGGATGTTTATTAGCTATGTTCACTCCTTAAAGGTATTGTAGGTAGAAATTTTATAAAAAACTTTTTCCCAAATTTGTTTAAACTTTCTATATATATCAATGCATAATTAAAATGTAAGTACTCTGATAAAAAGAGTATAAAAATCGAGTGACTCTAGACCGTTTAATCTGCACTAAACACAGCTCATTATTTCCTTCCGGGACGAAACAATGGATTGGCTTAGGCGACTGTCACTCTCTCGCAAACATGGCAACACCCCCGCTGCTACATGCACTGCCCACATGCGCGCACTCGTTTGACTGCTGACTCGAGGAGGGTAAGAGACTAGTAAGAGACACAATTACGTGCAAAACACGGTGTATATGTTATGAATCTTACACGAAATTCACCTTCATCACAGTGTAACTGATTGTAATGGGAAACCGTGTATCAATGCAACCTGTTTTTAGCTTTGCTTTATGTTACTAGCTCGTTAACGAATCAAACTCAATATATTTTAAACTTTACCAGTATCGATATGCTAGCTTGATAGTGAGTACTAACAGCCATGCTAGTTGTTAATATTCATAATGATAAAGTTAGGTATTTTATTACATGTGAGTCTGACATGATGTCACTACATGCACTGTAGGGCTGCAACGATTAGTCGACGTTGTCGACAATAAAAATTTGTCGACAAATATCTTTGTTGTCGAGTAGTCGTTTGATCTCACGTGACCTAATAAGGGCCTGCAATATCGCGATTTGACCGCTACGGCGCTGTAGCGCTAGAGTGTAGTGCAGTCCTTACAAATGCTATTGCGGTAGAAGAAAACACAGCGCGAATTATGACAGTGCAAACGAATCCGAACTAGCAAGGTTTAGGTTTGGGAAAGTTTCACAAAACTTCAAATCAAGAATGCTGTCGTGTGCAATACATGCAAGGCGGAACTTGCTTTTCTCCCGTGAAAAAGCACAACATGCATGTTGGAGTGCAAGAGGAAACATCCCGGCAAAAGAGGAGCCGGTGAGAAGTGAGTGTTCTCCAGCTGGAGCTTACTAACCAGCGGTAAATCTCTCTTTATTAGAGAATGCAATACTACTAATAATAGTAATAATATTATCAATAGTAATATAATTACAGTAATGTGATGACTTATTTTGCATAGAATAAAGCTTGATCGAGCTTAGGAGTCAGGGCTGTTTTTATTATTGTAACACTATTAGTATATTAGGTATTATTATAGTCTTATCACTTGCCTGTATTTTGTTCAATAATCATGAAGACTTACAAAACGAGATGTTATACCCTTCCAATGATATAGGAAGAATATCATGGCAGTTACTTTATCATACTATAAATTAAAAGGTGAATGAGAAGGTCTCTGTCAGCTCAATTGTCATGTAAAAAAAGATTGTAATTTTATACTTAGAATAATTGTTTGCAGATTAATATTTTACCATTCTTTGTGTCCTGAAGTAAATGTCCCTTTTTCTGTTTCAGTTCTAAGAAAAGCAGTGGGCCTATTAAACAATGCTTAGAAAGCATTTGTGTGTGATTTGAGTTGGACCGAAATCTGAAAACTTAAAGAGAATGACCTGTTTAGTTGGCTCAAAGTTCATAAAACAACTATTTCAAAAGCTGAAGTGATTTTCTTTTTTTATATTATAGTTAGAAT